GGCGGGGCGGGTGTCAGGCCTCTCCAGTCCGCAGGGGCCCCTCTGGCTCCTCCTCCCACTGCTCTGTAATTCCAGCCTGGCAGGGCCTCTTCTTTGAAAATGCAAATGCAGTAACACAGTCTGTCCCCACACCTAGTTCTGCTCCTGACCCCTCTGGCTGAGGGCGGAGGGCTCACACAAGCCCCACAGTGCGCCTGCCCTGGTTCCCTTCCCCTCCTGCCCTTCCTCCTGCTCTTCTCCAGGGCCCCCCTCCCCTTACTGCTACCCCCACCCTGCTGCCTGGGACCCCTGAGCTGGCCTCTTGTGGGCCTGATGCCGACGATGTGAGGGGCACTTTACAGGTGCCTCCCTTGGCATCTGGCTGCATCTACACACCACGGATCCCAGCTCTGTGCTCACATCCTCCTCCCTCTCCATCCCCCCAAATTCATACACATCCCAGGAAAGCAGGTGGGTGAGACCAAGAAGAGAGACTCCAGGGATTCACAGGGAGTGGGGGTTGTGGGCGTAGGAACTCCTGGGGTTTTCCCGAGCTGCTGGAAATCCTCCCATTGAGGGAGAGGGCAGGGCATTCGGACTGCCCGGTCTGTGGCCAGCCAGAATGATCCCTGGTCACACCTGGTCGCACCTGGTCCCACCTGATGGGCCTCCACTCCCACTGTATGCTGATTTGGCTCTCCTGGGGTGCAGGGCAGGGGGTATGGGGGTGACGGGGAGGCCCGTTCCTGCGGGGAAGGCCTTCCTGGGCACAGACTGCCATCCCGGGTTCAGGAGGGCCTCCCTGGACAGCTCCGTATTCCTGTCCAGGAGCTGGAGCCCTCAGGTTTTTTAAAACTAATTTTATCATTATTACCTCATTTTAGAAATAGCACACGGATTTATCAAAGGATAGAAAAGAACGCACAGGATGGGAGCCCTCCCACCTCAGCCCCAAGAAGCTCCTGTTTCAGACAAAGAAATGGTGTCAGTGACAACACTGGAGAGGGCTGGCGTCACCCAGCCTTTGTCCCAGGTCCCTGGGAGGGTCCCAGCGGACGGGCATGTGTGTGGGAGCCAGTCTCCTCACGCTGGCCGTGCCCTGTCCACACAGGTCCTGGTTTTCTCCCCGGGGGTTGGACTTTTGCGCTACCATGGAGGAGTGGGGGCAGATGGGGCCGCGGGGGGCCCTTGAGAATATTCAGTCCAGTAGCTGCATGGGCTTTGCTGACGGTGGGAGTCTGTGATCGCCGTCCGCATGGCCACCCCCAGCCCCTGGTGCCAGTCCCAGCTCCCTCTGGGCAAGCTGGTGCTGAGAACTCAGGTTTGGAGCGGCGAGGGGCTGGGCGGGGTGGCCCCCGTGAACTGCGGACTCGGGCACATGCTTGCTGTCCTGGGCGCTGCTGTCCGTCCTGAATTCTGCATGTGCCCGGGGGCTTGTCCCCTCTTGCTGAGCCCCCTGAAGCATGGACGGCCACCCACAGCTCCTCTGGGAAGCGGCTTCTGGGGACTCAGCTGCACACCCTTGCGGGGCTTGGGCATCACAGGCTGCTGTCCGAGCCACCAGCTGTGACACAGGGAAGGGGCAGCACAGCCCGTGTGGTCCACAGGGACCCACCCGGCTTGGGGGATCAGGTGCCCCATGAAGGCAGAGACTCATAGACAGGTCAGGGCAGGCTCCACTAAGGTCCCGATGGGGGGTCCCTCTCGGGTGGCCTCCCTTGTATGTGCAGTCCCCACCCTGGGCACCCCGGGCACTAGGTCAGCACTGAGGTGGCGGCGACCGGTTCTGGGTCCCCCTCCCCATCCTGCGGTGGGTGCCCTAGGAAGCATGTCATTCCAGGGATGACTCAGTGTCATGGTGGCTGGCAGGGGAGTGACAGGAGGGGGCCTAAGCCCCACAGGGGGCCGGGCTGTCATGGAGGGCCTGGACTATCTGGGGACAGCCCTTGACCCAACAACGGGGCAGCCGGCAGGGGCAATGCTGTGTCCAGAGCCCTGTAGAGGCCTCCTGGCTGTGGCTCCGCCCCCTCAGGAGGGCCCCTGCCACGTCCTGGGTGCCCATCCTGCCCTGTGTGCAGCCGGGCAGACGCGTGGTAACTCCTTTCTCCCCTTCCTCCTCCTCTAGCAACATGGCTGACAGCAAGGCCAAGTCTGCCAAGGCCGCCAACAAGACACCCCCCAAGTCCCCGGGGGACCCTGCAAAGGACCGGGCAGCCAAGAGGCTGTCGCTGGAGACAGAAGGGGCCGCTGAGGGGGCGGCTGCCGCGGCCCCGGAGCTCAGCGCCCTGGAGGAGGCCTTCCGGCGGTTCGCGGTGCACGGAGACACCAGGGCCACTGGGAAGGAGATGCACGGCAAGAACTGGTCGAAGCTGTGTAAGGATTGCCAGGTCATCGATGGGAAGAACGTGACCGTCACAGACGTGGACATCGTCTTCAGCAAAATCAAGTAAGTGCCGCCCAGGCCTCGCGCTCAAGACCCCCCACCCCCGCCATGTGGGCTTTGTGGCAAGCGGGCAATGAGGAGGTGCTCGAGACCCCTCCCTTCTCAGGATAAGATGTAAGATGCCGGGGTGCCCAGGTCGGGGGCACTGCACTGGCCACAGAGCTCCCACCCGCGGGGGCTGCTCGGGGGCTGAGTGTGAGGCAGGGAGGGGCGGGCACCTCGCCCTGGGCTCTGGGGGACGGTCACACTTGAGCGTGGAGGACAGAGCGGTCGGGGTGTCTCCAGCCGTGGCCTCGGTGACTGTGAGCAGTGTGTGTGTGTGCACGTCCTTCGTCCTGGACACTGGGGAGCACATCCGGCTTCATTACCCCCCCCCATCTCGCTGGGCACCTCCAGCCCTGCAAACGTCATGACCCCACCTGAGAAAAGGAACAGTGCCCCCCAGGCTACCTGGCGTCTGCTGCTTTCCGTCACCTGTCGCGGAAAATAGCTTTCAGCGTATTTCTGGCGCGTGTCCATCTCAGTCATGTGTCGCGGTCACCACGTGACGCCCCTGCCCTCCCCGTTAACGGCTGGGCTCCTCCGTGCACTCAGCGGTGGATGGCTCCCTCCCTCTGCGTCCCCAGCGGCTGTGACTCCATGTCACCGGACACCAGCGTGTCTCCATCCCAGGGAGGTGTACCTGACTTCCCAGGCCGACCCGAGGCTGAGGGGACAGCCGTCACCATCAGGCACTGCGTCGGCTCTCCCCCAGAGCTGGGGTGGAGTAGCCCCATGGGCAACTCCGAAAAGTCAACTCTTAGGACCCAGCAGTGCCGGGCACTCACCAGGCAGAGGGGACTTGGTCTTTCTGGCCCCAGGGGAAGAGGTAGAACCAGTCAGAATTTACAGTCCAAGCAGGGTCCCCAAGGACACCACAGCTGTGGATTGGGGATTCTAGTGAACCCTCCATTCCTGAGACCCAGGGTCAGAGGGGAAGGGAAAGGTGGGGTGTAGGTGGGGGGGTGGTGAAGGCGGGGTGCAGATGGGCAGGAGAAGGGAAAGGTGGGGTGCAGGTAGGGGGAAGAGGAGGTGAAGGTGGGGTACAGGTGGGGGAAGAGGTGAATTGGGGTGCAGCTTTGGGAGGAAATGAAGGTTGGGTGCAGGTTGGGGAGGAGGTGAAGGTGGGGTGCAGGTGTGGGGAGAAGGAGGTAAAGGCGGGTGACAGTTGCGGGGAGGAGAAGCTCTGTGGTTGGTATGGGGCCCGAGGTAGAGGCTTCATCACCGGGACCAGGCTGCGGCCCCGGGAGCCCAGGGGAAGGTGTTTGGCCAACAGTGCCGCCCTGGCTGTCCCTGCCCCTCGTCTGCTGTCCACGGGGCAGGGCCCATGCAAAGGGCAGGTGGGCTCTCCAGACCTCTGGGGTCCCTCTTCAACAACCTGGTCTGTGCAGAGGGGAAGCGGTCCCCGAATCTAGACGGCTCTCCAACGGAGGGACCACTCCTCTGATTAGGCGTTCACGTGATGTTGTCTGGGCCCGAGTGTCCAGTCAGTGTGTCCCCCCCGACGCCCACCTGTGGAGGCTGAGGACACAGCCATGGAGCGGTGAGTGTGGACAAATCAGCCCCCATCTGTCCCCGGCTGGGCACTCACGTCTCACCCTCCTCCGTGTGTCCTGGGCTTCAGTTTCCATGTGGGGTTCAGCTGTGTGGAGCTTCGCCTCTGGGCTGACCCCTGCCCGTCCCAGCCCTACTCACAGCCCTGCTGGACCCTGATTTATGCTGTCCCCCCTTCTCACAGATGCCCAGCCCACCTGGAACCCACACACCGGGGACATGGGTTCCTAACCTCTCTTGCCACGCCTCTGGGGCCTCTGCTAGTCCCTCCTCAGCTACAGGCTGCCCCTGGAGATGAAGAGCTGTGTACCGCTCAGCTGGGTCAGCCTGACCCCCAGGGTCACCCCCACAGAGCAGGGGCCACTGGACATGGGAGCTGAGGGTCCAGACCCTGGGAGTCCCTGGTGGGGTGTGGCCTCGTGGTCAAGGACATTCCCAGGAGGGGCGGGGGCCAGGTGGAGGCTGCATCTTGTCCTTTCCCGTGTCTCCGAGTGGGGGGCTTCAGGATCTTTGGGGACCAGGGAGCCCCACGGAGCCTGCCTCTCCCCATCCCCCACAGGGTGCCGGTCTGGCAGGCTGCAAGGACCAGCTCTCTGTGGCCCCACCTGGGGGTCTCCACATTTGCTGTCCCTGTGGCCCCGGGCTTGTGACCAAGGGGTCTGGTATCTGACTGTGCAGCTGCTCTCGACGGCAGGGACCGGGCTCCGTCCGGCCTGAGTCCTCAGCCGAGCGGCTTCAGAGGCTCGCCGGGGCAGCTGGCCTGCTGTCCTTGCTAATAAATGAGAGCCAGCTCTGTGTGGGCTTCCCCGTGGACGGTCCAGCAGCCCGTCCAGGCTGTGGTCAGCCAGCCTCGGGCATGTGGTGCTGCTGCTGGCCGACCCCGAGGGCCTGACCAGAGCCTGGGGCTGCGCCGGGAGGGGTCTCGCACACCAGCCAGGACAGGGAAGGAGGGCATCGGCGGGTGGGGCAGAAGGGCTCACACTCCTGGGCGGGGGCGGGGGGCAGCAGGAGCTCCGAAGACGCCCCGCAGGGTCTCCCCATTCCCCTTCCTGGGCGTGTCCTCCAGGCCTTGAGCGCTGGCCTTGGGAAATCCCGTGCATCCAGGAGACACGGACAGACCCAGGAGCGAGCCATGTCCATCAGGGAAGGTTCCAGAAGGGTTGGGAAGGAGGCAGGAAGTGGCACGTCCAGGGGTGGGGTCACCCCACCCTTGGCGCTGGCCTGCACGTCGAACTGCTGGGGACAGGTGGTGGCTTTCACTCCTTCCTCCAGGCTGCCGAGGGCAGGCATTTGCACACATTTGCACACACGCACTCAGAGCCCACACACGTGTGCACCGCTGTGTGCACACGCACTCACAGGTAGAACTCAGGCTCTCCACACCCTTGGTGGTGGGGAGGTGGCTCGTTCTGAGGACGGGTGCCCTGGACAGGCCCCAAGACCCTGTGTGCGGGCAGCCCACCACCCAGGCAGAGGGCCAGGGGCCTTCTGCCCACCCGCAGGGCGCTGGCGCCGCTCGTGTGAGCAGCAGGAAGGGAGCCCCATCTGGTTGCTGCCCCTGTCCGGGGAGGCAGGGCATCAGCTGCTCAGACACTGGGGGCTGAGCCTTGGCCCCTGGCTCCTGGGCGCGGCGGGCTCCCTACTGCGGGGCGCAGGGCTGTTTGGGACCCCCGGCGTCTCTGCCTCAGCTCATGTAGGGGGGAGCTGTCTGGTGAGTGGGCAGTGGTGACCCCAACCCAGCAAGGGGTCACCGAGCTGCGGCGGCCACAGGGGTCCCTGCCGGGGAGCGGGTGCAGGGCCCTGGCCCGGACAGGCTTGCTGGCCACCCTGGAGGGTGCGGCGGGGGGCCCATGCCCTCGTCCCTGAAGGGGAGACCGTGGGGTCCCAAGGGATGGGCTGGAGGACACCAGGAGGCCCCAAGGAGCTGTTAGAAGTGTTATGATTTGGCCCTGTGAGGAGGGTGGTGCTGGGCGGAGATGTGCACGTCCGGGTCCATGGGGTCTCAGGACAGATTTCAGCAGCCACGGCAGAAGCGCCTTCGCGGCGTGGGAGCCGCGGACGTGGACCCGTCAAGTGGCCGCCCGGTGGAGAGGCGCCCACTCTGTGTTTGCGGGCGGTTGCCATGGCTGCGCGGGCGGCGGCGCCAGCCGGGGTATCTGCGGGCTTTGTTTAGGGCCTGTTGCCACGGCAGCGCTTGTTTGTTTTGATGTTACTATGTGTTAAATTTTAAACAAATTTCTTGCAGCTCCACACCAGGTCTTGACTGAACACTATTGTTACCCAGACAAAGGCTTCTGCACCCTCCCCTCCCCGAGGAGCAGACAGGGTCGGTCTCAACTATTAATTAATCCAGACTCGGTGTGCATGGCAGGAATGCCACCCTGACAGACGTGTCCCCACAACCACATCCCCTTCCAGCCTGCCTGCGTGTTCAGGGCCAGGCACAGGTGGAGAGGCCAGGCCCAAGGGGGCAAAGCGTGGCGGGGTCTTCGGCCCCGCACACACCTGTTTTCTGGGTGCTGTGTGTCCGCGGACGGGCCATGTTTCCTGCAGCCCGCTGCCGGCGTCTGAACAGGTTAGGAAGCAGCACGCTGGCGGGGCTCCCTGGGGCCTGAGGGCCACCCACCCACCTCTCCCTTCTTGCCGCACCCGCCCCGGCCCCGGCCAGGACACGGTGGGAACGGTCTCGGGCAGGGAGCTGGAATAGCAGACCTGGGCCTTCAGCCTGAGCATAGACACTCTCCCCCGCCGTCCAGCACCCGCAGGAGAGATCCCCCAGGACAGCATGATGGTGGGGTGGGGGTGCCCACAGGAGGGGCGGGGGGAGCTGTGACGTCCCAGAGGTGCTGGCCAGCCGGGTCTGCTCCGGGCTCCTCCCCCCAGGCTGGGGGGCATCCAGGGTCAGAGGGGTGTCACAGTGGCCATGTGGCCCAGTCCTTCTCTGTGGGGCCCTCATGGAGCGCCTGCAGTGGGCAGCCTGGCGCATCTTCGGCCAGGGGTCAAGGCCACACAGAATAGGAATCGGGGAGTTCCTGGCCCGATGGCTCCTCACCAGGTTGATGTGGGCGCTGGGTCCCGGTGCACGATGGCCTTTTAAGAGGAGGACCTTCCCTAGGGGCGCCTGGGTGGCTCAGTTGGTTAAGCGACTGCCTTCGGCTCAGGTCATGATCCTGGAGTCCTGGGATCGAGTCCCGCATCGGGCTCCCTGCTCGGCGGGGAGTCTGCTTCTCCCTCTGACCCTCCCCTCTCATGCTCTCTATCTCATTCTCTCTCTCAAATAAATAAAATCTTTAAAAAAAAAAAAAAAAAAAGAGGAGGACCTTCCCCAAACACCCAGAAATGGTTTCAGTGACCTCAGTGCATCTGTCCCCACAGCCCAGCCCCCGCCACCACCAGGAGGGCAATTAGGAGTGGACGGGGTGGGGGGGCCCCCCAGCCCGGCACAAAGTACGCACGAAGTTAGGGGGACACTAGGGTGGCTTTTTCCTATTGGGGGGAAGTAACTCAGAGTTCGGGCCACAGCTGCCCCTCCAGGCAGGTCAGGGCCTGCACACACCCCTACAGACCACCAGCATCACGGTGGTCAGAGGCAGTGGGGAGCCCTGGGCAGGAGCGGTCTGACGGCAATCGGTGGTCCTCCTCGAGCACCTGGCCCGGGAGCTGCTCCAGGTCAAATGCACGGCGAAGCTCCCCCAGGGGCCCCCCCCACCCCTGCTGGGAATATCCCAGAGGCCCCTTCCCACTGAGCCTCATCAGGGCCTTAGGTGGATTCCCACTGGTATCCTGGCAGCGAGGCGGCTGCCTGGACAGGTCATCCAGGGCCCTGGCTTTGCTGGTCAGGGGCGGCAAGGAGAGCCAGCAGCTTTCTCCCACCCCCAGATGGCAAGTTATCTGTGATGACCCAGCACGCTGGCTGCCACCACTCAGAGAGGTGCCCCTGGGCGTGCCCTCGATCCTGGTTCACGGAGGTGCTGGGGAGGAGGTGGTGGCCCCATGCTCGATCCTACAGCATTTCAACCCGGAGCTCGGGAGCCTTCCTGGTGTTGGCCCGGGTGGCACACACATACATCTGTCTTTGGAGGGCTGCACTGGTCCCCCAGATGCCCCTGATGTCCCTGGGTGACCTCTGGCACTGACAGGGTCCAGCCCCCTGCTCACCCAGAGTTAGGTCTGGAGGCCTGGGCGACACAGGGCTTGGGAAGCAAAGTGAAGCCCCAGCTCACAGGGCCTTGTGTGTGACCAGTGACCCCACTATGACTGGGCTGGCTTTCCAGCAGGGCTGGAGCCGGGAGCAGAGGGGGGGTTCATTGTGGGGACACCCTCTAGTTCTGTGAACTCTGGAGAACAGGCTCACTCTGTGTCCAGAGAGCCGTGTAATATGATCAGTGTCTCTGGGGAAGAGACAGGCATTGTCATTCTAGAACTTGCTGGGGACAGCTCTCTGTAGCAGGGCGCCGGGTCCCCTGGGGAGAACTCCCTGCTGGGCAGTCATGGTGGGGACAGTTGGGGACACCCAGCCCAGCCAGGTGGAGCGGGCAAGTCAGCCATAGGCCTGACGTCCACCAGATCTGAATGTGGCCTCTGACCGGAGCCCCTGTCGGCCATCCCCCCACCCCCAGCCCCAGTGACTCACACTGGTGGCGCCTGGTGCCAGTCACCGGGCTGGCCGTCAGGCCTGGCACCCACATGCTACCCGGGCAGGGCGTGAATAGGAGACAGGAGGGCCTTGGATGGCCCAGGACAAACAGGGCCTCGGCCGGGCGGCAGGGCACACGGGGTCCTCCGTGCGGGGCAGCTGCTGTGGGGACCTTGCCGCCCAGCCTGGTTTGCTCGGAGGCTGACTGCTTCGGGAGCAGAACCCAGTGCCCACCGCTGGATCTGAGGAAGCCCCGTGTCGACCGGGTCCCCAGCCCCTGCTGCGTGGTCACGGCTGGGACCAATGCCTCAGGACGGACGCAGGGCTGTGCCCTTCCTGACCGTGGGCAGTGTGTCCCGTGTCAAGTGCCCACGAGCCCCCGTGCGTGCTGTCCGGGCCTGCGCTGCTGAAGGACACCTGGCTATGCAGTTCACGTGGGGCTCCGGCTGGTTTGTCCCGCGTGGAGCCCAGGCGTGGGGGGTGGGAGCTGGAAGTGCCAAACTGCCAGGGTGGACGCCCCGTCGCAGGCCCAGCAGCGGTGTCTGAGCGCCCAGCTGCCCACATCCTCCCAATGCTGATGCGGTCACCCCGTCAGTCACCGCAGGCCTCACAGGGGTCTCATCTGCGTCTGGCTCACAACGTGAGGTGGGTCTTCGCAGGCTCGGTGTTTGCCGCCCACAGTCTCCCTTGGACGAAGTGTCTGGGTCAGAGCTTTTGCTCACGGGCTTCATCCTGGGTTTTCTCTGTTGCTGAGTTTGAAGGGTTGTCCTTTTCAGGTATGTATGTGTTTCCTCCCAGTCTCTGGCTTGTCTTGGAATAAAGACGTGAGTTTTTAAAATGTGGGTGAATTCCAATTCCTTATTTTTTTCTTTTATGGACTATTATGGTGGTATTTCTAAGAAATCTTTGCCTCACCCAAGGTCACAAAGATTTTCTCTTAGGTATTCTTCCAGAAGTGTACAGTTTTAGGATTTATGATGAGCCCAGGACTAGGAGTTTGTGTGCACGCTGCAAGGCACGGCTTGGAGCTGGGTGGTCAGCGGTCTTTCTCTGCTGGACCCCTTTGCTCCTTTGAGGAAGTCCTTATGTGGGTGTGTCCCTGTGTCCCTGCGGCTCTCAGCCCCTCAGCCTGTTCTTGGCCGTTCCAGGCCCTCTGCTTGTGGACGGACGTCTACAGAGCCACCTGCCGGGTAATGTGGGGCCGCCCCACTCAGGATCCTGCGCTCCTAGCGCGTCCCTGCGCCGCAGGCAGCCGCCTCCACAGGACCTCTTGTTGTGAAACACTGACAGCTTGCTGAATGGATGAGCAGGGCAGAGCCAGTCAGAGTGGCAAAAATGGATTTTAGCTAAGACTATACAAGATGCAGAGCCAGTCCAGAACCCTTCTGAAACCTTGTGAATGGCCCGCGGCGGGGAATGAACAGGGCTGCACCCGGCCCCCAGTGCCCCTCAGGTGGGCGGCCCTGGCCTGGCCCCAAGTGGCTTCCAGGCAGCGGCAGTGGGGGTCCCAGGAGGCAGGGGGCAGGCCCTAGGCCCACGCTGCTGGGCGTGCTGGGGAGGCGGCCCCCATCCCTGCGTGATAAGGGGGACGTCGGGCTGTGGCGCTTCCAGGCAGGACTCGGCCTCCCTGGGGTTCAGCCGAAACTCGCTTCTCGCCCTGACTTTCCCTCATGCTCCAAGTGGACGCCACACACACAACCCATTTTAGAACCAGACAACAGCTTTGTTACAATGTCCAGTTGTTCATAAAGGATGTGGTTCCTTTAAGCTTTTTTCCAAGGCAATTTATATTTGCTGCTGTTGCCCATGGCGACCGACTGTTGGGCATAAACAGTGCACACCAGGGCGGGGGAGGGGCACATTCTGTATTTTAACGTTACACTCGATTTCCACCGTGGGAGAGAGGCAGGGTCCCCCGATGTCACTGGGTCCCTGGATGGGAGGGGTCCCCCGATGTCACCGGCTCCCTGGATGGGGGGTCCCCCAATGTCACTGGGTCCCCGGGCAGGGGCAGGGGTCCCCTGAGGTCAGCAGGTTCCCGGGGCACTGCTCGGCAGGGCTGTGCCCTGTGGAGGGGAGTGGCCCTGGCCGGCCCTGAGTGCTCTCTCCCTCAGAGGGAAGTCCTGCCGGACCATCACATTCGAGCAGTTCAAGGAGGCACTTGAAGAACTCTCCAAGAAGAGATTCAGAGACAAGAGCAGCGAGGAGGCTGTCCGCGAGGTGCACAGGCTCATCGAGGGCAAGGCCCCCATCATCTCGGGGGTTACGGTGAGCATGGCTGGGAGGGACTCCCTGGGGGAGCACAGCCCACAGGGTCTGGGGTCCAACGGCAGAGGTGTTCATCCCCAGGGGCGGGCTGATGCAGCTGCCCACGGCCTCGGCCCCTGGGGTTCACACGGGCGCGCCCCGCTCTCTCCCCTTGCAGAAAGCCATCTCGTCGCCCACCGTATCTCGGCTCACGGACACGACCAAGTTCACGGGTTCCCACAAGGAACGCTTCGACCCATCAGGCCGGGGCAAGGGGAAGGCAGGCCGTGTGGACCTGGTGGACGAGTCGGGCTACGTGCCAGGCTACAAACACGCAGGCACCTACGACCAGAAGGTGCAGGGGGGCAAGTAGCCAGCCCTGCCAAGGCCTGTCCACCTCACACTTCATTACATTCCTGTGCTCCCCGGTCAGAACTCAAGACTCTGGGGCCCAGGTGGCTGTGGGGGTGACACCCAGGCCTCCTCCTGCCCCGGGGCCAGCACGCTTCTCTCTGACCCCCAGGTGGGGCCCCTGAACTCACTGACCTTTTGTAACACACCTGCCTCGTCCAGTGCTGGCCGTCAACAAATGGCCTTTTCCAAAGTGTCTCCCAGGACCAGACCACACTAGCCACCTGGCTTACAGGCCGAAGGGCCATTGTACAGGAGCCGGTGGGCCACGGGGGCGAGTGGGACAGACCCCGTCAGAGGTGGTGCCGACCTCCTGACCTACAGACCCCTCCCAGGAGCCTCGAGGGCAACGAGCGCTAACTCACTAACAGCAGCACCACAAAAACGAAGTGAGCCCCGAACAGGACACCGTGCAGGTGTGGGGAGGCGGGACACGTGCGCACACGCACACACGCTTGCAAATGCTCATGCACATGCTTGCACACACATGCTCACACACACGCACACACGTACACACGTTGCGGAACCAGAGGCTGGCGAGCAAGGGAGGAAGGTGAGCCAGTGAAAGGCTCCTCCGTGGACCAAAGGAACATGGTTTGAAGTGCGAAGCCCAAGAGTGTCAAAATGGAAACAGGACAATTCATTTCACTGTGCTTTCCTAAGAAGAAATAAGAAACGTGCTTATTCTTAGAATGGGTCAGGCAAGATTGAGAATACCCTGTTTCTGCCCCTTTCTCTCCTGCCGTCCGTGTCTCCGGGTCAGGACACCCTGCTGGCTGAGGCTTCCCATGCAGGTGCTTTGCTGGCAGGACCGGGCGTCTTCTCCCCGGGGGCTTTGCCCCGCACTTGGGGCCTCAGGGCTGTGGGTCCACGTGGCTGCTCCCTCTTCGCTAGCACACGGCACAAACCTTGGTGGTTCAGTCTCCACAGTGAGTTCTCCCCAACCTCTGCCAATCCCTGCGAGTGCAGAAAACCACACAACAGCCAGGCCAGTGGAGGGCCGTGAGGCCCGTAGCATTTGCCGGCATTTGGTTTCTCCGTGAGGCTGGACGGGGCAGAGGCCCGGGGCTCCTGTCACGGGGGCCCCATGGGGACATGTCCCTTTGCATAAGTGCAGCCAAGCCTGGCGAGTGACTGGTGGGGCTATGCGGTCCTGGCACTGGTCCTGGGAAAAGCCCGCGGCAGCCTCAGGAAGATGCCTCCTGGAGCCCGTCCACCCGGCCGCCATCGTGTGTCCAGCACAGCTGGCTGAAATAAAGACGAGCACTGTGCCAGCACAGACACCTGCCTTCCTGAACCCAAAGGGCACGATGGTCATCGCTGGAGCTGGGGATGCCCCCCCCCATGCAGAGGAATTTGGGACCCGCGCTCCCATCCAGCACGGCCCCTGTGAAGGGACAGTGTCTCCACCAGGCTCCTCACTCACGGGCTTCCCCTCACAACCCACCCGCGGCTGGCGGTGGCCTCGCCAGCAGCTTGCTCCCGAGGATCTGGGACTTGCAGGTGCGTTCAAGTGGGGTAAATGATGGACTGCAGGCTTTGAGTCACTTGTAGGACACAGTCTCACCGCTGTCCCCACTTTCTACCTTGGGGATCCTGAGCTGCCTGGCCGGGCCTTCACCCCAGGTGGCGAAGGCAGGAAAACAGAGGACTGAGTGCTGGGGGAGGGAGAAGCAGGCAGGACACGGACCCCCGCCCTCCCCCAGGCTGGACCCTTGTGACGACCCAGAGGCAAGAGGAGAGCGTGGGAAATGCGTCTGAAGGCGACTCTGAACACAACGCGTGTTTCTCGACAACAAGCAGATCACAAACCAGAAAACTCTGTGTCCAAAGCCAAAGAGTTTTCCCTTAGTGGTCACGGAACAGGCCTCCCCGCCGGACCCCATGAGGCACCGTGCTGGGGAGCACCAACCACCAGAGGCGCGGGGCTACTCCTCCTGCCCATTAACAGCTGGGTCCCCACTGTCATGGCTGATGACGAAGTATGGATGCTGGAATCCAGCAGGACCTCGGCCCCCACAGTACGCAGGCCTGGCGGTGAGCAAAGGGATGGGGGTCCCCATGCCACTGCCTGTAGATGGAATGGATGTCCCCCTGGCCCTTCTCAGCCCCCCTCACCCCCAGGAGTCTGTCTCCTGTCCCAGAGCGGGGTCTCCAGGCACAACACCCTGGGAGACTGGGGTCTAAACACGGGAAACCACACAGCTGCCCCCACCCTGGGACCCTGCCACAGCACCCTCCCCATAGCGGGAGCCCCCGTTTTACACAAGAAACCAGCACCATGGCCTACGGAGCCCAGCGTCTCGACAGGAAACCAACGGCTCACTTCTGACGAACGTTCCCGAATGCGTTCCTGACTCTTCTAACTGCACCTTCCCTTTGGGCTTGAATGAGAACCAAGCGCACAGAGCTGGCCCCCCTTGGTGGCCACCCCATCCCACAGCACAGAGGTCTGGTTGGCCACACAGGCGCTGTGGTCTCCACCCCTCCCCCTGCCCGTCCTGACCCCGAGGCCTCCTCAGACGGCATCCGCCCCGTCAGAGCCTCCCCTCTATCAGGAAGGAGGGAGAGGTAGCAAAGTCACGAGGCTTCAGTGGTCGCCATTCTGCCGGCTTGAAATCATCTGCTCAGTCCGTCCCTGCACCGGGGTGTAGCCCTTGCACACAGAACACGTGCTTGGGCTGCACTCCGCACACACGCGTAGACGCGCACACATGCATGCTCCTCCGCCAGGGTCTGAGTAGTGAGAACACACAGGCAGGGTGTGTGTCGTTGCCGCATGTTTTTATGCTTCTACTAACCACGGTTCACTAGAAACCCAATGTCTATCTGTGAATAAACGAAACTGCACAGCATGCAGGAGACAGGACACGTTCCGTCAGGGAGGGCAGGGCTGACAGCGTCTGAGCATCAGGAGGCAACTGGAGGAGGGTGTTCAACGCTGATCACAGCAGAATACTTATTTATTTCTATTTAACAGGATAGGATAGGCAACGAGGCAGTGGTCAGTAACACAGTTAGCTTTACCAAAATGAAGTTCAAATCACGTAAGTTTAGAATGTTGTAGCAAAAGGTATATATTTATACTGGAGTATTTTTACACCTCTAATATCCTCAGTTCTAAGTTTGAGGCAGATGGAAATCGTATCAGGTGCAAGAAGCCGGGCGACAGGGACGCAGAGCCAGCTCGCTGACACCACGTCCCGTCTGCACTGCTCCGTCTCCGCGTCCCCATGGTCGGAGCTCAGCACAGGCCACGGGCGTCCCTCTGACTGCGCGGTGGACAGGGGCTGTGGCAGTGGGCAGAGGCTCGTGCCCCCAGCCCAGGCGGCTTCTGTGAATGGTTTTATAGCCCCCAGCCACCCCGCTGTGCTCAGGCACCAACTGTGGCTGCTTCTGCACCCCATCAAGTGGTGGGGAGGAAACCCAACATTTTCACCATCTGGCCCTTGATGGGGAAGGCGTGTGCTGGCCCTGCCCTGCGGCCCAAGCCACACAGGACCCCCTGTTGTCACCTGTCCCGTGCAGGCCAGGTTGACAATTCAGCTGTACTGTGAAGTTACCAATAGGCTAGAATGTCCTTAAAACACTGACCCTGAGTAGCTCCCCACCACTGATTTACTACTGAACACTTGGTGGAACTGGGCGGTTCAGGGTGCGGCCCTTGTCCGGGCGTGTGGGAGTGCATGGCCCCAGGTGGGGCTGGGCAGTGGTCACCCTGACCTTTGAGATGCTTTCTCCCTTTAGACTCTTGAAAAACCAAACCAAGCCAAACAACAAAGGAAACCCGCACAACTTAAAAGAAACTTGAAAGGGATCGTATACTACTAGTTTGTACTAAGTTTTTTTCAGGAAAGGGAAATAAATTTATATATATATGCAATATATTTTTACACTGTTTTGTTACCATTAGGGAGTTCTGAGTGTATCACTTTATCAGCGTATTGGTAAAGTCGCGTCGGCGTCTTGGGTGTTCTGACTCAGAAAGGCACATCTGCAGGCATCTAAGAGCCGCACTCACCAGGAACGTCTATGGGATCGGGGTGGCCCTCCCCAGACCTGTCAGAGCTGCTGTCAAGGCCTGGCTTGCAAACCTTTAGTGAAACAGCTCATGTCTGTCTGCATATCTCTCCTCCTATGTTCGCTGTTAACATTGTGTGTCAAATTGGTAAAGTGATAAATAAAGGTGTTGAAATGTGGATCTCTGTTGCCCTCAAGGTGCAGTCACCCACGGGGCCCTGCCATTTAACACGGGCCCTGGGAGGGGTCTACTCCAGCACCGCTGCAGCCCCAGGGAGGGGCCCGGGCCCAGGAGGCTGGACGCAGAGTAATTACGCACACCTGCAGCAGCCACAGAGGTAGGTAGGAATGAGGTCCTCCATGAGTTCCAACCTGAAACCCTAGGACAGTGAAATAGTTCTCAAAAAGGAAGATAAAGGCATTCTAAGACCATAACGGGAATTTCCACCAGTAGACGTTAAAAGAAATTCTAAGTGCGGAAGGAACATGACCACAGATGGAATGTCTGGAGGGAAGTGGCGCAAAGAATAAACAGTAAATACAGATAAACAGTGTAAGTAAGTGCTTTCTGTGGAATAAAGATTTCATTGGAACACTGGAAGACCACCCCATGTAAGCCAGAAGGGGTGCCCAGGGAGCTACGTGCTCCTGGGCGCCACTGGGGGAGAGCAGAGGTCCTGACCCGATGGGCACTCGCACGCTGTGATAATGCACCAGAAAGAGCGCACGGCTTCCAGATCCACGGAGGTGAGCATGGTGGAAAAAAAAGCAATGTTTTAAAGCCAAATGTGTCCACAATTTCAGCTGAAGATGCAAAGGGACAGAAGCTGCAGTGCAAGAAAGGGAGTGAGGAGAACACGAGAATGAGCAACAGGGACACTGGCCAGGGGGACAGGGTAGCCTCTAGGAAGTGAGGAGGATGCTGGAGCAGGACGCACACCGAGCCTCACCCGTGCCACAGGAACCCTACAGTGGCCCTCGTGTCCCACCTGTGCTGTCCCCGGCTAGGGCCGCCCTGGTGTGTCCCTGGCTCAAGACCTGAGGCAGAGCCGTCTGTCGCCTGCATCCCTTTCCCTTGAATGGCAAGGTCTTGCCTAATGGACAACTGCCCCGCAAGGACACAATCCCAAATGCTGAAGCCATTAAAATGCCATGGAAAGACTGTTATACCAAAAATTTGAAAGTTAGGCAATAAGCACAAAATCCTAGAGATAGAGATCTTATGAAAACTCAAGAAGAAATGGAAAGCCTGCACTGTCCTATGACTTAGGTGAGCGACTACTAAGTAGAAAACCCCCAAAACCTCGGTGGCTGGACACAGTGAGATTTCTTTCTTACTCAGATGGAGTCTGGCCAGGGTCAAGAAGGGATCTCCTCCAACAAGAGAAAAACAGACCTGCTGGTTTGTGATGCCGCCGGCAAGGCCACCGAGGGGAGGGAGGCCCCCCCAGTGGCCCGGCAGCTCTTCTCTGTCCCACTCAGACGAGTCACATGGCCCCAGGCCAGCTTGGGGGGCGGGGCGCTGGCCAACAGAGGGAGCGGATGGGTGCTCTGGGAGAACAGGCTCTGCTGCACCCTTTAATCATAAATCAAATCGAACCAATGGTCAAGGATCTCCCACAAAGAAAATTCCAGGCACAGCTGACTTCCTTAGCAAGTTCCACTAAACACTCAGGGAAGAGGTAATTACAACCTGTCCTAGATTCTCCTAGACAGCAGGGAAGGATGCACAACCGAACTCTTCTCCTGGGGACAGTGTAGTGGCTCAGACCCGCAGGACGACGGCAGCAGAAAGGGAAATCCGCAGGGAGGCAGAACTAGTTACCGCTGCTAGGGCCCACAGCTGCACAGTGCTCACTGTGCCAGGCCAGTCCTCGTACCTGACTGCAATCACCCTGTACTCCTCACAACACCCTGAGCACAGGCTCTACAAATGAGGAAGTGGAGACCCAGAGATTTTAAATAATGAAAAGTCAGACCCTGAGTGGTGTACCCACAACATAAAATCCTACACAAAATATTAACCAAATCCAACAGTAGGTTTGCAAGGGAAAACTCATCATTACTACGTTGCGCTTAACCCAGACGTGTAAGGTTCTTTTTACGTTTGCAAATTACAGTAGTTAACCACACCAACAGAATAAAGGAGAAAAATCACCCAGTCATCCTAATGGCTGCAGAAAAAAGTGTCTGATAAAATTCGTCCATTCACGATAAAAACATCTTAGATTAGCAATAGAAGGAGCTGCTTTCACCTGGTAAAGGCCATGTACAAAAGCGCGACAGATCACACACCCTCGAGAACGAGGACACGAAGGTGCTGAGAACACAGACCAACAGACATAACACGCTTCTAATGGCGTGGAGCATCAGTGTAACCACCTCAGGGGCAATCTGAGGTCACCTACAGTGAGGGCAGGAAGAACATGGCTCAGGACTTACATGAGACGTGAATATAACATGACACAGAAAGTTAATAAGAAAGAACCAAATGGAATTTTAGAACTAAAAACATACGTAATCTCTGAAATTAGAAATCCACTATACATAGAGGCCTAACTGCAGATCAGGGCAGTAGGAACGACCCAAACTGAAGCCACGAACAAAAGATGGGGGAAAAGACCCGAGTTTGGGGATGTGTGGGGACTCCACAAGTGGTCTGGCTGAGTGTCACTGGAGTCCCGGGAGGGAGGGAGGCCGGGTCAAGTAACAATTTTGGAGAAATGGTGGCCAAAACTTCTCCATATTTGATGAAAATGATAAACTCCCAGGTCTAAGCTCAATGAAACCCAAGCAAGAGAAACATAAAGTAATAGCATGGTGATCCTTTCTAATAAGCTTAAAATGGATTAGTGCTAAAATCTTTTAAATAAATAAAAAAATGATCTGACGATGAAAGAAACCCCACCCACACACAAAGCACATTTGGTGTGCCATGTTTTCCTGCTGAGTTACAGAAACCAGCGCTGAAGGACACAGCGACGACCAGACAGGGAGGGGACTGGGGAAACCACCTCCCAAGGGACAGGTGGGGATCCCTGACCCCCAGCCGCAGAGCCTGACGCACACGCTGCCACCACCGAGCATGTACTTCTAGGCCTGCCCGCTCTTCTTCCTAAATCAACTAAGTACTGTTTTAAAAAATTACTTTGCTTTACCAAAGAAAGCAAGTATTTGCATAAGATGTGAAGCTTCCAAACTAAAAATCTAATATTTTGCCCTGTTATGCTCTAATTTTCAGAAATGCACTGCAAGCAAGAGAGCAGCGGGGGGTGGGGGGGAGTGGATACAGATACTCTCAGTATGGGGTGTTAGTATCGTGAAACAGTATTTGTAATGTTTCCCCAAACTCTAAGTGTTACTGTTATTCAGTCTAGGAACATATTTGTCCCTGCTCACTTGGTGCATAGCTTGTTTTATAAAAGAATTTAATGAGAAAAATTCAGTTATAATTTATAAAAAGCCACTTTTTAAAACAATCTGTTAGTTTATTAAACAAGGACTGAGTGTCACACAAAATCACTTAGTGATCAGACACCATTCTCTTTTACATCAAGGAAAAAAATACTGCATTTTCTTTATCTCAAGGTATTTTACGAAAAATTAATAATGTTGGTCTCAAAATATATCAATGTTTCTTATCTCAAAACACGTGAAGGGCTTAGATTAATCCTTTTTTCGGGTAAAATCTCAGTTGTCTTTCAGGAAACATGAGCAGCATGCCGGAGTCCGAAAGAATAATAATCCTGGTTGCCCGCTCTCTGCAAATACCACACCATGCACATCCTTACCCCCAGACTCACTCAGAGACAGATCAATCCTGTCTTTCTTAGGACGTTTTAGAAAACCAAGCTACAGGCCCTGAATACATTGCAAAACACTTAGGATAGTTACGGACAGAAGACCCAGCTCTTGCCAACAAACGCGCTAGGTAGAAAAGAACTCCCACGTTTTACTAGGCTTGGCAAAACAAATACAAATGCGCCAGCCACGGCACCTGGAGGCCAGGTGTGGGTGCACAGGTGGGGGGGGACTAGCAGCCGCTGAGGCTGGCGCTGCTGTGCGGGAACAGGGCCAGCGTCTTCTTGAGCTCCTTATAGCTCCAGTTTAGCTGCTCCACCTCGGCCTTGTGCTGCGCCCGCACCTGGCTCAGCTCCTGCAGGAGATGCTCGTTGGTGCTCACCAGGGAGCTGGAGGAGAGCACAGGAGGGCGACACCTGAGCCCCTCCCAGGTCCAGCCTGCCGCCTCCTGTCCAGCAGCGTCCTCCCTCACCTGGCCAGGCCCGGTCCTCACAGCCAGCGCCCTCCTGCCTCCCATGGGCTCCTGCCGTCCGGCCCTCGCCTCCCGCCGGGGCAGTGCCGGGCCTGACCCGGGCCCTCAGCCGCCCCGCCACTCCAGCCACGGCTGTTTGTCAGAAAACCGTCCTGGTCCGGAAAGCCAGCAAACTACGTCCTAACTCCAGAGACGATTCCCAGTCTGGCGTGTTTCTAGCTCCTGGTCAAATGCAAAGGGGCCCCTTACTGATGCTGACGTAGTGACAGTGTAATTCAGAGTCTTGGTCTCATGGTGCTGTCGGCTACTTCTACCGCGACAAGCACCTTAGGAAGGAATCGCTGCTGTGCTCGTCCACTCGGCCGTCTGCAAACTGCCCTCACCATCTCACTGACATCTCTCATGTGCCCCTCACCTCTCCCGGCCACACCTCACAGTCACACTCTCAGGTCACACCTCACAGAATACTGCAGCAAGAAGGGACTTGCTTTTCCTTAAGAAAGGGAAGCTCAGGGAAGTTCCAAGTCAATGCAGAGACACACGCGGCCCAGAACCCCACCTGCCGTGACACTACCGGGCTCCTCTGTGCCCCATGACGTGACCAGGGCTGGCCCTGCTCCACCCACGCCTCCCGAGCAGGCACCTGTGGCTCTCCTGCAGCATCTGGGTAAGCTCCTGGATCTTGTCATAGTGCTCCAGATGCTGCTTTAATTCCACAATCTCACCAGAGAGCCTCTTCACACTGGTTTGAAGTCCTGAAAGAGAAAAACCATAACATCATTGAGTGAAATTCACCCACAGGTTTTAAAAACTACAACAGTTCAAGAGTTTAAGCTGGATCAGGGATACGAGAAAAACAATATAGTTTGGAAAAGGTCCATTTGTGTTAGCCAAAGATAGCCTCGGGCCTCTGCCCTCCAGATACCTGAGGAACAAGTCTCCGCATGGAGGGCAGAGTAGGGACAGAGGTGGGTGTGGCACCAGCCGGAGGCTCCTGCCACTCACTGGACCTGCTGCTGGCAGGGAAGGGCGTTCAACGCCTCTCTTCCACCAGGCAGTGGGCTCTGCCTGAGGGGAGGGCCTGCAGCTTTGGGGACAAGCGACAAGACATGTCTCTGCTGTGTCCTCTGGTCCCATGTCCATCAGTGACACAGCGTGTCTGGATTCCATCCACACAACTCCTGTCTCTGGGTTTCCAACTTGACAGGGAAAGAAATACATCATTTATTGGCTCTGAAACCCAAAACCAGGACCCAAATAAATCCACATAAAACTACACAATACGAGAGACAACAGGAGGGCCAGAGTGGGAGGTGCGGGCAGAGGGACGGCAAGGACACTGACAGCAGGCTCCAAGAGCAGAGGCAGAGGGCCCTAAAAGCGCTACGATGAGGCCACACTACTCAGCATCTGTACCCCCCATGGCGCCACGGCAGGGCTGGCGAAGGGGATTCTGCGAAGAGGGCAGTGATGGCATGGTTTCGGCGTCCCCCAGAACCCCCCCAGTCCAACAGCAAGAGTGACTAGACGACAAAACCAGAGCCCCGCAGACAACATTACAGCCCCTAGGGGTGTGGCAGCCTCGAGACCCAGACATGAGAAAGCCACAAACCCTGCGTGGTAGCCACCTCTGTGGGAGGGAAGCAGTGGTCAGCAGCCTGGCAGCCACTAGGTGTCCCCCATTTTCACAGGAAGCCCCTGCTGGGCAACTAAGGACCCACGGCTGACATAAGAGAGGCTCAGCCTCCTCCATGAGGTCAGACCAGGGGGCCCCTGGGTGGTCTGAAGGGACTGCAGCAACCCTGGCCCCTTGAGGCTGACCTGTCCAGCCCCCGCCCCCAGAAGAGGGTTGTACTACAGAGGCCTGTTTGTGAGGGCCCCGCTCGGGCAGGACAGGACACCAGAGAGAAGTGGGGGAGTGAACAGGGCCTGGGTGGGAAGTTCGGAGCACTGCCTGACCCGCCCCGGAAATGCGCAGGACGAATTCCACGTGCAGGTGAACAGCACAGGAGTGCTGAGGGCAGACCCCACACAAAGGTGCTGCCCTCGGACATCAGAAGCCACACCCAGGACATCAAAACCAGGACCAAATATTTCAGAATGAGCTAAAGATCAAAAAGAAATGATACAAGAAATGGAGGAACGAGTCAGACCTGAGAATGTCAGAGAGGAGGTGGCCAAACTCAGGCCCGAGCTCGCGGCAGAGGAAAGCGTCACGGGAAATGAAGGCTGAGCAAGAAGGAGCCCAAAAGCAAGTGAAGAGGATGATGACATCTCAAGACGCAGGTTAAAAGGGGAAAAGTTTTTTACATGGAAGTTAAAGAAAAGACTACCAAGAACTCACTGCTTAACAAAACAACCCAATAAACACAACGGAAGAGACCTGAGCAGGTCGTGTCACAAAGACGACCAACCAGGGTGACGGTCTCTGTGGCTGTGCTCCCGCGGCCAAGCCCACCGGGAGTGCGTGGAGAGACCTGCTCTGAGGCCCTTTATGAACAGTTTTCAGACCCCTGGGAGGTAGGACCCACACGACCCTCGGCGGGCCAGTCCTCAGGGAAGTTAAAGCCTCCAAGGGACCTTGCAGTTCACACCCAGACGAAGCTCACAGAAGACATACACCACCACCAGCTCCTCACTCAAAACCTGGAATCTGAGATACCAAGTGCACCTTGGTAAAAACGTCAAAACAGAAGTAAAGACAGTGAAGAGAGGGAGATGAAAGCGAGCTGGACCTGGAAGAAACAGGGACAACAGACACAAAGCACTGCCCTGCTCCGGAGAGCCGACGCAGCAGAGATGTGGCCATCTGCCCGCTCCGAGAGGCAGGCGGGGTGCCCCACGTCCGCTGCGCCACCACCAGCCTGGCCGACCCCAGAGGCTCTGGGGAACCTCTGCTGGGAGCCTGCGGGAGCGGCTCTCATGAGCCACGATGACCTCACAGCCCTTTACAGCGTGTCTGGGACCTGAATTCTGAATCCTGTAACTTAGAATGAAGTCTACAAACAAGGGTTTGAACACTCACACGTCACCAAATAACTCACCAGTGATCTGCACATTTAACGTAGCTGCAGTGTCTGCATTTTTTGCTTCTTTTTTCATGCTGAACAGAAGAGCCTTTAAGCTACTATTCTCCTCCAAAGATTTGTCTAAATGTTGCCTCAAGTCATCCTACAGACACAGAACAACACACTTAAAACAGATGAGTCAAATTCAGTAAAATGTATATACAAAATTAAGCGAAATCTCTCGAGATCACCAGACATCAGTTCTGCTTTATGTATCATACCGAGAAATCACAACGTGAACAAGAGAAATCAGTTGCCCCCGGCTGAGTAGCACAGTGTCCTGACAGACAAAGGGGTGGCACAGGTCACATGGGGTCACACTGTGTGCCCAGCGTCCCTGTTGAGGGAGATGTGCTGGCTGCTGGAGACCTGCCTCCTACAGGAAGGCCCTGTGGTCACCACAGCCTGGCTGCCCATCCCTTCTCAAGAAGCAGGAACAAGAGCCGGGCAGCATGCCAGCCCCACGTGGTCCTTCTAGGCTCACTTCTTGGGCAAAAGCACAGGCAGATCCCAGGGCTTTGTGCTCCCCGAGGCAGGCCCCTCCCTGCAGGAGCCCCATCCTGTTCTTGTCCTCAGTGTGTAAGCACATGGGCTTATACCTGCCATCCCCATCAGAGGCGGGAGCTGCAGACAAAGTAGGCTCCTGTCCCACCCTCCAAGATGGCGGCAAAGCCCAGCACGCCATGAGACATTGAAGGGGAGGGAAGGGCACGGAGACCACTGTGAGAGCTGGCGGCACCTGGGCCATTAAAGCCACGGCTGGGGCGCCTGGGTGGCTCAGTTGGTTAAGCGACTGCCTTCGGCTCAGGTCATGATCCTGGAGTCCTGGGATCAAGTCCCGCATCGGGCTCCCT